TTCATTCTTTTTAACTAATTTTCTATAATTTTTATATCTAATTTCTAATTATCATTAAGATAAAAGCATACTGTGATATTGGTTTTAAAAACCCATCGTTTTTAAAATGTTATGGAATATCAAAGGATGATATTTCTAAAGATTATATTATTGTTTTGAAATATGCTATGTGAAAATCTTCATTCTATAGCACTATGTAAATGGAGAGATAAGTTAAATTTGCTGCTTTGTATTGCTTCAGATCTTCAAGCCATACATTTTCAAGGCCTTATTCATCATGATTTGCATAGTTGCAATATTTTGCAGGATAATTTATATAGCGCATATATTGCAGACTTAGGATTATCAAGATCAGTCAATACTACACCAAATGATGGAATTTATGGGGTTTTACCTTATGTAGCTCCCGAATGCAAACATCCTTATAATCAAGCATATACACAAAAAGCTGACATATATAGTTTTGGTGTTATTATGTCTGAGGTTTCAACTGGGCAAGCTACTGGTCTTGGTGATAAAATATTTGCAAAAGGAACTCCACAAATATACATTAACTTTGCAAACCAATGTATGAGTAAATGCTTAGCTAAACGTCCTTCAGCTAGTAAAATTCAGGAAATTTTAAACACATGGATAACAAATAATAATTTTATAGTGTCCTTTAAAGAGGCTGATGAAAATATGGTAATTGAATCTAAATCTTCAAACAATAAAGCATCTAATATATATACAAAGTTGGATGAACCGATTGGTAAGAATTGTTTTAAGATAAGCTTAAAGTTTCTAATAATTATTAATAAATTGATTTATTATTTAGATTCACAACAAATGGTTGAATTAGAAATATCATTTAAAGATTTTATATAGTTTATATAATAAAGCACGCGATATGGTGTCCTCTTCAAGAAGTTGTAAAAAAAGATTTTATATAGTAACTAGAAATTGCGTGGGCGGCTTCGCCGCACGATTGAGATTGCTATAGTATTACATTAGGTATCTGTGCGATGTTATCGTGCTGAAACCAGACGTAAATAAATTAAAGATGTCATATTACTTTTTTTGGTCTGTATAATATATGAACCGGAAAGATTTATTTAGAATTTTTATATAATAATTGATTTTGATTGCAATACTTAAATACGTTAAGAATTATTTAATACGAAAGAAAGTATTGAGTAAGTTCTGTCTTGTTAGTTTCACCATTTGCCAATTTCGTCAGTTATGTTATCTTTGTTGGTTATGTAATCTTTAGTCTGTTTCCTATTTTTTGTCGTTTATGCCATTTTGTTAATCTGCTAATTTTATTAGTCAAGATACCTTTCGTTTTATGCTAAATTAAGTTATTTATACCATTTCATATTTCCGTCGAAAGTTGAAACCAGGTTTCTTATTTTGTCAATGGCAAAGCCTCTAGGTTTTGCATAATAAATATAAATATATTATTTTATTGCAAGGTTAATTTACATAATTTTAATTGTCGTCTGTTACTGTTTATCGAAAAGAAAATTTTGAATCGTGACTATTGTCGTCCTGGAAAACGGCGAGTCAGTCGCTCAATCTTCTGGATCTTCGTGTGACGTACTGGGATAACTTATCGAATTAGGCGTTTAGATTGGGCAAAGGGATTTCCAAGGCTTTATGCGAATTGAGGATATTTTTCTTGACATGTAAGTAATGCATACGTAATCCTAATATTTAGAAAATATTACTTCATTTCTGCATACTCCGAATAATTAATAAGCGATAATCTAGTAATTTGCAAGGGAATTAAACAACAGCAATTTGTTGTAATGTTACTTTGAATGATCATTCACCCAATTGTCAAATAAAATAAATAAAGTTTCTAATATTTCTGGGTTTCTCCTGGAAGCGATTTTTGTCCATTCGCTTTCGTGCAGTGTTGGCAAGTTGACAAAATTACAGAGTTGGATGTCATAAAATATGTCATTTTTGTTATAAAAAATATTATATTTTTATTATTTTATAATATTTTATAAAATTTTGCAGTCATTTATTTGTCATAAAAAAAATCATATTTGTCATTTTTCCAACACTGCTTTCGTGATATTGTTTATAGACGTTAAGAATATTTTTTAAAAATTAATTTAATATGAATAATTTTATAAGTTTTTTTTTTTTTTTTTTATTCAAAATTTTATATTTATTTCTGTATGCCAGTTTGTTCTTGATCCACTATACGAACAAACTAGCACCTTAGTAAATAATAACTTTTATTCTTTTGGTGGTCCTAATACGGAACAAAATTTTACAAATGAAGTAATATACCTTGATTTATCAGTATGATTTGACATTACAAAGCCTCCATGGGTTAAAAATCCTACAGTAATTCCATCTTGCCACATCATGTCTTGGTTCTATTGATGGATCAATTGTTTTCTTAATTGGTGGACAAGCTTTCGATTAAAACAATCAAAGTATAATTAACCCACCATTAGTTTATTCATTTAATTCCATTACTTCGCAATGGAATACAATTGATATCACGAAATTTTTTGGTAGAATATTATACTATAGAAAGCGAAAATTATGGCCCTTTTAGTAATAAATTGAGTGTACTTAATATAAAAACATTAAATTGGTCATTGCTGAATAATAATAATGTTCTAATATCTCGAATGTCTTATACTACTACCTTATTGAATAATAGTCTTATAATTTACATTGGAAGTTTAGAGCTGATGAATATTACTTCTTCTCAAATTAATGTTAAGATGAACGAGGTAATATATTTCTACTATTTTTTAAGAATATATTTTTTCATTAACATTTGATTAATGTACAATTGTTAAGTTGGTTTAGCATGGTAGTGTAATGATAATTAAAGTCAATTGTTTTAAATATTAAGTATGAACTAATGTTATGTATTTAGCAAGCTAATGGGGATACAATTATACCCGTAATTCGCATTCCGCCATTCTAAATAAGTATATCCCTTTGTTATACTTTATAATTTCAATCACTGATTAAAAATATACGTAAATTTTAAAGTAATCATTCTTAATATAATGTATTATTTTTTTTTCATAGCCCAGGATGGTCGTATAGTTATATTTGGTGGTAATTCGGCAAATGATACTGCTCGTGATACTACGATTCGTGCACTTCCAGATGTTGCGGTATAAATACAAATGTTTCACCATACCAATGGCCTATTCCAAATATTCCATCATCAAATACTCCGCAGAAATATATAATAATATTATGATAATTGATCTTTTTTAAGAGTCTATCTTTATAATTATAGACTATGTATTTAACGTATTATTATTTGTACTATGTTAAGGAATTGCAACTTATGATCAATTACAAATAAAAGTAACACTTACCGGTAATTTAAATTTATTTGACATTCAAAATTATACTTGGATCTCTTCAATGAATTAGGAATCCTCAATCACACCAGCAACGACCACCACAAAAAATGCATCATTTACTCACCGAATAATCGTCATACCGATATGATTATTGAAATCGTCGTTGGTATTGGTGGACTTATCTTCGTAATATTAATTACTGTATTTTTGTCTGATCGATACTGGAAATCAAGAAATAATTTTTCTATTGAAACTCCTGGCTCAGAATCATATAATTATCTCATCAAGACTCATGGCACAGAATCATATAATTATCTTATCGAGACTCCTGCAACGAATCGTATAATTATCCTAACGCGGCGCCCGGCATCAGATCTTTTAAGTATAAATTAATAAATTATGTATTTATATAAAGTTTTTAAGTAAAATTTAATTTTTTTATGCAATCATATAAAATAATTAGAATTGAATAAAATTTTTAAATAAAATTTTTATTATATGTAATTATACTAAAATAATTTTTAATTTATGTAAATATGTGCTTAATTTAAAAATGCAATACGTATAAAAAAATTATACATTATAAATTTTAATTTATTGCAGTGATTACTAAATGTTAAAATGATAATTATAGTAATTAAAAAAATGCTCTTGCCCAAAAACTTCATTTGGGCTAAATTTGATTATACACTATAATTTAAAGGGTATTTGAGAAAATTCTTGTTAAAAGAATTTAACTATAACCGACGGTGATCACCGGTGTGTAATTAGTCAATAACAATAAATTTTCATTTCATTTACTTTAGGGTTAGGACAAGCCCAGAATTTTAATAAGGTGTTATATATGTGCAAAATTTAGCTAGAACGTCTGAAGGTGGTTTCATAGGCGAATTCTTTAGATATTGGCATTTTTTAAAAAAATCGATTTGCACATTTACACCTGACCCTGCAAATTTATTGGCTAATTACACACCGGTGATGATCACCGCCGGTTATAGTTAGCAAAATTCATTTGAGTTTATCGTCATATGTAATTAAAATAACAAATCTAATGTCGCACATAAAAAATGTAGCTGACGTATGATTATGCATGCATTAAAGTTTTCTACTATCGCAAAAAAAGTAATCGGTTGAAGGGTTGATAATTGGTTAAACGTCTAATATCTAACAAAAAATTATAACTTTAGAATTGATCAGAATTTTATCATTTTTACCAATAATCAAAATTAGCCCTTATTGGTAGTTGCTACCTTAATTACTGAATTACGGAAAATGCCATAATCGATAATGCCCGTAATGCCGAATTGATCTAATTGTGTTAGCTAAATTGATATAAATAACATAATGTTTAATTAGTAATCTAAATAGACAATCATATAATAAAATTACTAATTAAATATATTTTTTATATAGGTCAGTTTCATTATTATTTATATTAAACTAAAATTTTTTTTTAAAAAAGGGTTAAAAATTTATGTTTTATAAAAAAGAATATATCAGTAGTATGTCAAGGTTTGAAGTTTAATGTTTGCACATGTGGTGCACAAATCCCGCTACCATTAAGCCTTTTTCATTTTATGCATTTTTAGCATTTTTAGCACCTTTAGTACTTTTGATACTTTATAAAAGAGAGGAAATTCTCTTTTTAAGATAGACCTTTACCAGTTATAATTAAATAAACATGACATTCCGATCATAATATACTGTAATTATCACATAATTCCTGTTACAAAACACCTTGGTCACGTCTTTGAGGAGGAGATTATAAGATGCTTACATTTTTACTCTCCAAGAATATGTACATATTATCTAGAAAAAATTAAATTATAAAAATTTTATCCTTATATAATGAATTTATTAATGCTTAAAATCTTAATAAACTGAATTTTTATAATTTACTATTTAAAACCTTTGAATTTATTGAAATTGTTGCATTTAACATTAAAAAGTAAAAATAATGATAATGATAATAGATAATTGTATAAAATTTTATTAATCCCTTAATGTATCAGGTTAAGGTTACTGTACTATGTAGGACTTCGAATGAAAATCGGTTAAAGAGTTTAACTGCCATAGTGGTTGTTACAAGAATATCAAGAAAGAAAAGATGAACTATATAATCCGTGTAAATTCACATAACCTTCATGCCGGTTGATGATTCAGATGCAGGGGCATTTCCAGTGTTTTACATAAAATTTGGCTTTAGTGAATTATATATACTGTATAATAACTCTGCTAGATGCTTAAACTGTACTTAAGTGCATTTCTGTTATTGTTATATTACTCTTAAAATTATTTACGTATTTATAAGTTCTTGATAAAGCATTTATCTATTCCTGCTATAAAAAAACAAACTTATTTGTTTAATAAATGTACTGTAACACAGAACTATAGTTTCATATTTGGGAATCGCCAAGAGTAGGTCAATAGTAACAAAAAGAATATATTTAAAGACTCCGAAAAAGTTTTCTACTCTAGTATTAAATTTTCTAAAATAGAATTTTGTTAACATATAAATAATCCTTTGATACACGTATTAATGTTCTCTAATTCATCAAAGAATTAATAAACATGAGTCCTATACTACTATTTGATAATGCTCTTAAAAAAGTCGGAATTGAAATTTATGATTATAATGACTTTATCATATTAGAGAAAATTGGTGAAAACAAATCTGGTAACGTAGAAAAAGCGCGCTGGAAAAGTAACGGATTAAATGTTACTGTAAAAAGTTTGGAATTTGAAATGGATTTAAATGAAGATATTATCCAGGAATTTGTTGTAGAGGTATTTTTTTTTTTTTTTTTTATTTTTTTTTTTATTTATTTATTTATAAAACCCCGAGATAGCATTTATCTGGGGACGTCAAATGACGCTATTTGTAGAGGTATTTTTGAAATCACTCTTATAATCCCGATCGTCAGAATTATAAAAAATCCCGAATTTTATTTTATTATTCAAAATTCTGAATTCATTACCCAGACAAATCAATCCACCTATATCTGATTTTATTAATATTTATATTGGATATTAAGTTGTCTGAATAGTGAGTTGTCAGGATTATGAACTATTATTGTTTGAAATTATAGGATATTGAGCTGTCTAAATAATAAATAATAAAGTTTAAAGTCGGGATTTTAACTTGTACTAAAAAACGAATAAAAAAGATATAAAAATAAATTTAATTTAATTATTTCTCATATATAGTTTCAAATATTACTCAAAATCTCGAAAAATAACCATCCAAACATTCGTCATTTTTATGGAATAGCTAAAGACAAAAACAATTGCTATTTTTTAATATTGCAATATGCAGATAGTAATTTAAGAGATTATTTGAATGAAAACTTTAAAAGTTTTACATGGAAGGATAAATTGCGTATAGCAACCGAAATTGCGATGGGTCTTATACACTTACATGAAAATGAAGATAAAGTTATTCACAAAGAACTTGTAAGAATCACTTTTTTTATTATAATCATTAAACAGAATTTTTTTAAAAAATTATTTTAGTCAATGTTTGATCATTTTTTTTCTATAGCATTCTATGAATATATTAGTTCATAATAATCGAATGTTATTAGCTGATTTCGGTATATCAAAGTGGAAAGATGAAACAAATACTACAAGTCATGGAATACCTGCTTACATGGATCCTAAATATCTTGCTAACCATAGATACGTACTTGATGAGAAATCTAATATATACAGTTTTGGTGTTATTCTTTGGGAAATTTCAAGTGGTCATCCACCTTTCAAGTCGCTAAAAGGAAGAGACGAAATAACATATCAAATCTTTACAGGAAAAAGAGAATCCCCAATAGAAGGCACACCGGAGCAATATATTCAACTATATCAACGTTGTTGGGACGATGATCCTAGTAAACGACCGGGGATCCAAGAAGTACTTGATGATCTACATATATTAAAAAAATCTGAAATCGCAGAGCTTCAACCTCAAGCTAGTTCTTACAAAATTCTTCAACTTAATACAAAAAATTTGTTGAACGATTACATGCCCAGCCCTTCGACAACCTCTCCTAAGGAAGAAAATTTCCTTGAACATTTAAAAACTTTTGTTCAAATAGAACCTAATATGTCAGATCTAATAAGAGATGAACATTTTAAACTTATCTCTAAGTGGATTAACAAAACACCACCTAAAAGTGGAATTATTCGAAAAATTCTCGCAAAGAAAAAACCCAAAATTAAACAAAACTATGACTTTAAATTACTTATTAGAGGAAGTCGAGATGGATTCACAGCTGCTGACTTCCATGATAAATGTGATAATAAAGGTCCAACTCTAATAATTCTAAAGGTTAAAGATGAAAATGAAATTTTAGGTGGATATAATCCATTTAGTTGGGAATCACCATCTGAGATAAAATTTTATTATACACAAAAAAGTTTTCTTTGTAACTTAGATGTTAATAAACCAGAAAATTCGATACTCAGTAGAGCAAGGCAACACGAATCAATTACATCATCAAAAGATTATGGTCCATATTTTAGAGGTGATTTATGTATGTCAAAAAATTTTAATACTGATTGTGATTGCCGATGTTACAGGTGGTATTATGAAAAGTCAATTAGAAAATCTATTGAGAATTTTTCAATAGAGGAATATGAAGTTTTTCAAGTTATAAAAAGTAATAATAGCATAAATCGTTGAATTTTATAAACTGTATACTATACCTAATTGAACATTGTAACATGATAACCCTGCTTATGTTGGCAAAATTAAAAAATAGAATAAAAATCAAATTTGTCAAAAATTACTAATCACTTGGAGTCAGGGCACAAAATTCTATTGTAAAATACCGGAGATTCCGATTAGCTGAGAAAAACTCCGGCATAATTTCTTAACAAT